TTTCTAACTGATACAATTTAGAAGCAATATAAATACTCAAGAAAAATATGCGATGACTGAACGGAACAGAATAGCCTTAAGATATTAAAATGAATGAATTAATGAACGTGCATAACCCAATGCAATGCATACTTTGAAAGGATTAAAATGTTGAATTTTATGCTTTATTAACTGTATTTCAATAAAAAATACCCTCAAATATTTTCCTGAACACCAAATGGGAGAAAAATCAAGGATTTTAAAATCTCACTAAACTACAGTTTTTGAAACATCACAAACTATAATCATGTTTGTAGAACTGTTTTATTACGATAAAGCCAGCAAAACTTTGTGCATACACATATAATCAAAACTGCCCTCCTGAAATAAACATTCAAATTTCTCCAAAAACAAAATTAAGATCTTAATATTCTTTCCAAGCTACTAATACAGTTATATTTGGTAATGGCAATTCTAACTCTTAACATTACCTGAAAATAGTTGACCTTCTTTATAAAAGCAACCTAGAGGACTACAGCAAGTTGTACCAAACTCTTTCTTTTGGAATTCTCCTAGTCTGCAAAATTATCACGTATAAGAATAAAATTGAAACGCAAACGTTTAATATATAACTTACACACAGTGAAATTCACAAAGTTGCAAGTATACATTTTATATTTCGCACTACTATAATCACAAAATGTATAAAGGTGTGATGTTAGGTATTTTGCAACTAATAACCTGTATGATGATGGTCCAAGATTGAATGATGCTAAAGAAAAGCACTGCTTATAAAATATCTGATAAAAATATTTATCTCTATTAACATTACAACAGGAAGGTACATGTTACCAAATTATGATATCACATAGGGCAGTTTTAGACAATACTCAGAGACGCCTCCTTTTCTCCACCTTGTTTGAAATCTTTGTTTTCAGCTTCTTGTTCGGCCTCCACCTTGCTTTCCTCTTTCTTGTCTTCTTCATTTCCTTCCTCTGCAACCTCTTTTTCCTGGCCTTCTTCCTCCTTTCTCTCCTCCTCGTTCCCATCATCTTTCTCCTTTCCGTCTCCCTCACTCTGGCCTTCCTGCTCATCTTCCTTATTTTCCTCTTTGTATTTCCCACCTTCCTCTTCTTCTTCCTCTTTCTGCTCCTTAACTTCTTCCTCGGCTTCAACTTTCTCTTCTTTGTCATCTTTCTCTTCTTCCTTCTTCCCATCCCCTTGCTCCTGTTTGCTGTCTTCCTTTTCATCCACTCCTTTGCCTTCATCATCTTTGTCCTCTTTGGCGTCCCCACTTCCTGCCGCATCTGGTTTCTCTTCCAGGACGTCTTCCCTCTTTTCATCTTTCACCTCCTCATCCTTCTCTTTGTCGTCTGCTCCATCTTCGCCTTTCTCTAAATTCTGGATGTTTTCCTCTGGCTCATCATCTTTTCCTTCCGCTGCCACCGCTTCTTTCTTTTCTCCTCCATCTTCTCCAGCATTTTCATTAATCTCTTTTTTGACTTCCTCCACTTCCATCTTTTGAATGGGTGCCTAGACAAAACAAGGAAAAAGGAGATGGTAATTTAGAGCTGTTTTCTCTCACATGATTACATCAGATTATATCTGTTTCTTGAAAAGCCTAATGAAATTTCTTTTGCCCGAAAGTAGTTTTTCCCTGAAACAACCATATCAGGAAAATATTCTAAACAATATCCAAGTAGAATACCGCGATAGAAAGCACCACAAATAGATGTCTGAAACCACAAATTCAGGAAAGCTTGTTTATATAAACAATTTTCATTAAAAATATGATGAAACAAAGTAAATAAATAGATGATGCTTATTTATTTACTCTGTCATAAATTTTCAGTAAGATGTGGAGATAAAGAAGTCCTTGGGAAAATAATGCTGTTTTTTCTTTTGAGACAAGGTCTTGCTACACAGCCCAGGCTGGCCTTGAACTCAGTGATTCTCTGACTTTCACCTATCAAATACTGAGTGTGGTAGTCTGAATACAAATGGCCACCACAGGTTCATATATTTGAATGCTTAGATCTCAGGGAGTGGCACTGCTTGAGAAGGAGTAGAAGGCGTTGGCTTTGTTGGAGTAACTTTGGCCTTGTGGTGGGCTTCCATGTTTTAGAATCCCAACCCTGGCTGGCCAGTGCCACTCTTCCTGCTATCTTCCCAGAACTCTCAACTACTACTGGATGCTGAACACGCAGCTAGCAGCTTCTACTCTAGCACCTTCAGCCTGCATGCTGCCATGCTCCTGTCATGATAATGGACTAATCCCCTGAAACTGTAAAACAGCCCTAAACCAGCCCCAGTTAGATGTTTTCTTTTATAAAAGCTGCTGGGATCATGCTGTCTCTTCACAGAAATCAAACCTTAAGGTCCTGGGGTAACAGGCAAGCATCACCAAGCACAGTTTACATTTGTGCTTGTGCGCATGTGTGACAGTATCTGACCATGACCATGTAGCTCTGGCTGTCCTGTGTGTGTGTGTGTGTGTGTGTGTGTGTGTGTG